ATTAAAAATCTTCCAACAAACAAAAGCCCAGGACCAGATGGCTTCACAGGTGAATTCTATCAAACATTTAGAGAAGAGCTAACACCCATCTTTCTCAAACTCTTGCAAAAAATTGCAGAGGAAGGAACACTCCCAAACTCATTCTGTGAGGCCACCATCACCCTGACACCAAAACCAGACAAAGATACTACAAAAAAAGAAAATTACAGACCAATATCACTGATGAATATAGATGCAAAAATCCTCAACAAAATACTAGCAAACAGAATCCAACAACACATTAAAAGGATCATACATCATGATCAAGTGGGATTCATCCCAGGGATGCAAGGATCCTTCAATATATGCAAATCAATCGATGTGATGCACCATATTAACAAACTGAAGAATAAAATCCATATGATCATCTCAATAGAGGCAGAAAAAGCTTCTGACAAAATTCAACACCCATTTATGATAAAAACTCTCCAGAAAGTGGGCACAGAGGGAACCTACCTCAACATAGTAAAGACCATATATGACAAACCCACAGCAAACATCATTCTCAATGCTGAAAAACTGAAAGCATTTCCTCTAAAATCAGGAACAAGACAAGGATGTCCACTCTCACCACTATTATTCAACATAGTTTTGGAAGTCCTAGCCATGGCAATCGAGAAGAAAAAGAAATAAAAGGAATACAAATTGAAAAGAAGGAGTAAAACTGTCACTGTTTGCAGATGACATGATACTGTACATAGAGGATCCTAAGGATGCCACCAGAAAACTACTAGAGCTAATCAATGAATTTGGTAAAGTTGCAGGATACAAAATGAATGCACAGAAATCTCTTGCATTCCTATACACTAATGATGAAAAATCTGAAAGAGAAATTAAGGAAATACTCCCATTTACCATTGCAACAAAAAGCATAAAATACCTATGATAAACCTACCTAGGGAGACAAAAGGCAAAAGTTTCCTACCTAGGCAGAAAACTATGTCTACTGATGAAAGAAATTAAAGATCATACCAACAGATGGAGAGATATACCATGTTCTTGGATTGGAAGAATCAATATTGTGAAATTGACTATACTACCCAAAGCAATCTACAGATTCAATGCAAGCCCTATGAAATTACCAATGGCATATTTTAAAGAATTAGAACAAAAAAATCTTAAAATTTGTATGGAGACACAAAAGACCCTGAATAGCCAAAGCAGTCTTGAGCGAAAAAAGTGGAGCTGGAGGAATCAGACCCCCTGACTTCAGACTACACTACAAAGCTACAGTAATCAAGACAATATGGTACTGGCACAAAAACAGAAATATAGATCAATGGAGCAAGATAGAAAGCCCAGAGATAAACCCATACACCTATGGTCAGCTAATCTACGACAAAGGAGACAAGGATATACAATGGAGAAAAGACAGTCTTTTCAATAAGTGGTGCTGGGAAAACTGGGCAGCTATATGTAAAAGAATGAAATTAGAACACTCCCTAACACCATACAGAGAAATAAACTCAAAATGGATTAGAGACCTAAATGTAAGACCAGACACTATAAAACTCTTAGAGGAAAACATAGGAAGAACACTCTTTGACATAAATCACAGCAAGGTCTTTTTTGATCACATCCTAAAGTAATGGAAAGAAAAACAAAAATAAACAAATGGGACCTAATGAAACTTAAAAGCTTTTGCACAGCAAAGGAAACCATAAAAAAGACGAAAAGACAACCCTCAGAATGGGAGAAAATATTTGCAAACGAATCAACAGACAAAGGATTAATCTCCAAAATATATAAACAGCTCATGCAGCTCAATATTAAAAAAACAAACAACCCAATCCAAAAATGGGCAGAGGGCCTAAATAGACATTTCTCCAAAGAAGACATACAGATGGCCAAGAAGCACATGAAAAGCTGCTCAACATCACTAATTATTAGAGAAATGCAAATCAAAACTACAGTGAGGTATCACCTCACACCAGTTAGCATGGGCATCATCAGAAAATGTACAAACAACAAATGCTGGAGAGGGTGTGGAGAAAAGGGAACCCTCTTGCACTGTTGGTGGGAATGTAAATTGATACAGCCACTATGGAGAACACTATGAAGGTTCCTTAAAAAACTAAAAATAGAATTACCATATGACCCAGCAATCCCACTACTGGGCATATACCCAGAGAAAACCATAATTCAAAAAGACACATGCATCCCAATGTTCATTGCAGCACTACTTACAATAGCCAGGTCATGGAAGCAACCTAAATGCCCATCGACAGACAAATGGATAAAGAAGATGTGATACATATATACAATGGAATATTACTCAGCCATAAAAAGGAACGAAATTGGGATTTTTGTTGAGACGTGGATGGATCTAGAGACTGTCATACAGAGTGAAGTAAGAGAAAAACAGAAAGAGAAAAACAAATATCGTATATTAATGCATATATATGGAGTTAGAAAAATGGTACAGATGAACTGGTTTGCAGGGCAGAAATTGAGACACAGATGTAGAGAACAAACGTATGGACACCAAGGGGGGAACGTGGCAGGGGGTGTGGTAGTGGTGTGATGAATTGGGAGATTGGGATCAACATGTATACACTGATGTGTATAAAATTGATGACTAATAACAACCTGCTATATAAAAAAATAAATAAAATGAAATTCAGAAAAAAGGGCTTCCCTGGTGGTGCAGTGGTTGAGAGTCCGCCTGCCGATGCAGGGGACATGGGTTCGTGCCCCAGTCCAGGAAGATCCCACATGCCACAGAGCGGCTTGGCCCGTGAGCCATGGCCGCTGAGCCTGCGCGTCCAGAGCCTGTGCTCCGCAACGGGAGAGGCCACAACAGTGAGAGGCCTGCATACCGCAAAAAAAAAAATTCAAAAACAAAAAAACCTCTTACATTTATAGTCAGTTGATCTTCAAAAATATGTCAATACAATTAAATGGGGGAAATCATAGCCTTTTCAACCAATGGTGCTGGGACAACTGGAGATCCACAAGAAGAAGAATGAAGTTGAACCTCCTACCTCATATCATATATAAAAATTAACTCAAAAATGGGTCAGAGGGGACTTCCCTGGCTGTCCAGTGGATAAGACTCTGTGCTTCCAATGCAGGGACAGGGGTTTGATCCCTGGTCGGGGAACTAAGATCCCGCATGCAACTAAGATCCCACATGCCATGCAGTGTGGCCAAAAAAAAAAAAGAAAGGGTCAGAGACCTACAGCTAAAACTATAAAACTCTTAGAGGAATACAGAGGAGTAAATCTTAATGATCTTGGATTAAGTAATGGATTCTTAGATATGACACAAAAAGCACATTCAACAAAAGAAAAAATATAAAGAAGATTTCATTAAAATTAAAAAATTTTTGTACTTCGAATAACATCATCAAGAAAATGAATAGACAAATCAGAGAATGGGAGAAAATATTTGAAAATCATATATCTGATAAGGGGATTATATCCAGAATATGTAAAGAATTCTTACAATTCAACAATAAAAAGATAAATAATCTAAGTTTTACATGACAAAGGATTTGAATAGACTTTCCTCCAAAGAATACATACAAATGGCCAAAAGCACATTAAAAGATACTCATCATTAGCCATTCGGAAAATTCAAATATAACCAAAATGAGAGACTACTTCATACTCAGTAAGATAGCTATAATAAAAAGGACAGATAATAATAATAAACATTGGCAAAAGCATGAAGAAATTGAAACCCTCACATGTTGCTGATGGGATTATGAAACTGGTGCCATCAATTTGGAAAAGAGTTTGCAGTTAGTTAAAAGGTTAAACACAGAATTCTCATATGACCCAGCAGTCCCACTCCAAGGTGTGTACTCAAAAGAAATGAAAACATATGTATACATAAAAACTTATACACAGGGAATTCCCTGGCCGTCCAGTGGTTAGGACTCGGTGCTTTCACAGCCATGGGCCTAGGTTCAACCCTTGGTTGGGGAACTAAAATCCCGCAAGCCAAAAGAAAAAAAACTTATACACAAATGTTCATAGTAGTACTATTCATAACATCTCAAATGAGGAAACAACTCAAATATCAATCAACTGTTGAATGGATAAACAATACATGGTATATCCATGCGATGAAATATTATTTGGCCATTAAAAGAAATGAAGCACTGATATATCAATGCTGAACAAGGATAACCCTTGAAAACATTTTGCTAAGTGAAAGAAGCCAGACACAAAAGGCCACATACAGTGTGATTCCATTATATAAAATGTTCAAAAAATGTAGTCATAGAGTCAGTAAGTAGACTAGTGGCTTCCTGGGGCATAGGTGAGAGGGCAAGGGGAATGACTGCTAATGGATGTGGAGTTTCTTTTTGGGCTGATGAAAATATTCTAAGATTAGACAGTGGTGATGACAGCACAACTCTATGAATAGACTAAAAAACACTGACTTGTACACCTGAAAAGGGTGAATTTTATGGTGTGTGAATTATATCTTAATAAAATTTTATTATAACTAAGTGAATAAGGGGGGAAAAATGCTTGCATTTTTCCTAATTGTGCTACAATACATTTTGCCAATTGACATTCCTACTAGGTGTGCTTCAGATAGTTTCAGGGCACCCTCCCCATCTTGGCTGCATTCTTTGAAAGAAGCCCTGTTTCACTTTGTCCTTCTTAAAGAGTGGTCCAAGGAATGGAACACCATGCTGTATTCCAAATGTAACTGGGTCTGTTTGGATAAAAGCAGGACTACCACCAACCACTGAGGAGATTTGTCTATATTTTTATAGCCTCCTATGATCATTTTTGGCAAAGGCATCACATTGCTGATGAAAACTGCATTTACAATCAAATATTATTGCATCTGGGCCATCTCTAACTAGTCAGTTGCTCCTTAAGGGGAAGAAAAGTATCTCATGCATTACAACACTTCATGTATAATTTATGCTCAATAAACATATATAGATGATCTGTGAGCACAAAGCTTAAATTATGAAGACATTCAACAATACTCACCACAGAGTTAGGGGGCTGAAGTGCACAGCTGCTAGCCTGGGACTTGGTACATGACTCTTTGATTAAATATTCTACAAAGTAGGCAGGGCCAAACACCCACTGGTAGGAGACAAGAGGTGAGAAATAAAAATCAAACCTTCTCAAGTGGAGAAATGAGTCAGATTTGGCAACATTATATTTACAGAAACCATACATTCCCAGAGTCATTGTCAACACAGGTCTCTTTTTGTCCCTGTAATCCCCACCATGATCAAACCATGTATTATGATTTTGTTCTTTAGAAAACATAATCACCATACCTTTCTTCCCTTCTTAAGGATTTAACTGGGCTCTAAAAACCTTCCCCTGGGTGAGCTTATTTTTCCTCATGTAAATTTGTTTTTAAATTAGCTTTTCTCCATATGATAGATATCAACATAATTCAGGTACAAATGAACATTTCCCCTAACCCATAAAACTCAACATCCACTCCTGTACTTAAAAGACAGAGTAGAACTTGACTTGCTAAGTGGTCCAAGGTCAACCAGATATGGGAATGTGGTAGTAAGTAGTGAACCTAAGTAGAATAACCCAAGGAGACTATGAGTCCATTTCCCTTCTTGCCTTCAGGGCAATGAAGTAAAATCATACCACACAACTCTAACGGAAATCCCATGGAATGACTCAGAAACTAAAACATGATTGAATGTGCATCAGGGTTACCAAAGGTAGGGAATGAAGCAAAGGCTCTTAGGGTTCTAATCAAAAAGAGGGCCTCGATAGCGATAGCAACAGTTATGAGACATATTGTTGTAACTGGCCTTTCAGCCTCACCTGACTAGAAGTCTTGGTGATTTTGACGAGAGAATACTGCTTCGAGGGGCTCTTATTGTTGTATCTTGCAAGAGACTCAGTAGCAGTTTCCAGGAACTTGGGGTTTGACAAATCATAGGGGCTGGAGCTGGGGCAGTCAGGGCACATCATGGTAATCTTGCTTCGAGAAACTGTTGATGCCAAAGGGAGCAAGTTTAAAAATAAAACTCCTTAATGATACATAATCCTATAAATCATATGATCACAACAGAAGCAGAGATTGAAAGAAAAAAAGATAATGCTCAGCTTTGTCAAGGATGGAGTGGAAAAGCATTATTTAGAAAGAAAGTTAGCTTACTGCAGAGTTTTCTGCAATGAGTGTGTATTACTTTCATAATTTAAAAGGAAACAAAGCAATATTTTTTCACCTTCCACAAATTTTTTTACCCTAGGCATTTAGTTAAAAAACACATAATATAGTACAGTTGACCCTTGAACAACACGGCGGTTAGGGGTGCTGACCCTCCAGACAGCCAAAAATCCCAGTTTAACTTTACATTCAGCCCTCCGTATCCACAGTTCTGCATCCATGGATTCAACCAACTGCATATAGTGTAATATTACAGTATGTATTTAGTGAAAAAAAAATCCATGTATGAGTGGACCATGATAGTTCAAACCCATGTTGTTCAAGGGTCAACTGTATATTGGTATAAAAACATTTTCGTAATTAGCTCAATATCTTCCACCATTACTGCCTCTGTAAAGCAGACTGAGTTGGGATTTCATTACCGTCACGTTTTATTTACCTTTTAGTCGCCAACACCTAACATAATGTCTAATGCATGGTTGGTGCTTAGTAAATACCTGCTGAATGAATGAGTGAGTGAATGACATATGGAAGGTGGAAGCACACCCTCTTTGGTTAGAAAATGCAAGTAAGCTGGAAAATAAAAGTTGATCAAACCACTGTATGACTGGATAGGATAATCACACTAATGGTACAGCTAGAATGTCTGATCGGGAGGAGCTGGGGGTGGCAAAACTTGTATAAAAGTCAGCCTAGGAAACTTGTCTAGAAGTTGTTTTGACAAAGCAAGCACATTGTTTTGATCAACTGTGTGTTTATTTGGATGTATTCGGGCATTTTGTGGGGAAGTTACACCCACAGCTGTCACTCCCGGCACCATCCACACATGTCATTTCCTGACCTCCCATACCTCAGGTACCTAGGACTTCCATTTAAGACCTGATCCGTTTTATTGGCTGTTGTCCTCTAATTTAGGCGAGTCTCATCTTCACAACCAGGAAGGTTTAGATCTGTTGCCCTCTCAAAGGAACCAACGGCATTATTATCACCTAGAGCTTGTTAGAAATGCAGAACCTCAGGCTCTGCCCCATACCTATGGAATCAGAATCTGCACTTGAACAAGATCTCCCAGGGGAGTCACACACACATAATAGTTTGATGAGTAGCCATATCCTATTTTCCCATGCCATGGATGCTTGCTGTTCAAAGAGAGACCCAGAATGAATGTATGTATTTATTAATTTATTCAATGATATTACAGACTCCTTACACTTGATAGGAACTGGGGGAGAGTTGTAGCAGAGAGGAAGAAGGGATAAAACGTTCTACACAATATAAGACAGAAGACCCCAAATCAAGGCAGTGCATGGTCTGTACTCCATGAATGGTTAGGTTAAAGTTGTGTAGGGCTGTAGAATAGGAAAGCACCACTTTTTGTTTGTTTTTTGAGGGGAGGGGGAGTTTCTTGAATAGAGAACGTGGTGGAGGAAGCAGCATTGACAATGATCTTTAAAGAATGCTTATGAGTTCCAAGGGCAGAGGTTATCAGTGGAGGGCATCCTCAGCAGAGGGAGAAGAACAAACAAGATGCAGAGATTGGAAAGTGTGATGTGTATTCAGAAAATAGTGAGCGATCCAGTTGAATGGAGGGCAGAGTTGGTATAGTCAAGGAAATAAGGCAGAAATAGCTAGAAAGGAAGCCTGGGGACCAGTCAAAGAGGTTATGCCATTTATGTCCGACTGAAAATTTAGGATTTGATGTAGGACACAATGTAGATTAATTGTGGGAAGAGGAGCAGTGCAAGTGTTGGATATATGAAGAACTTGGCTTTGGAATGAATAGGAAGTAAGGATGGGAGAAACCCTATAGCATAGTATAGTTAAATACTCTTTTTCCATCTATTATTAAAATGCACAAAATCAAAGTGATCTCTTACCTGGGCGAAGAGTACAATTATAAGCAGGTAAATAGAAAATTCTTCTTGCCTTATTAATGTAAAATATTGCTTTGCATTGACCATAAACCTGGAAGCAACAAATACATTTTATGACGCAGTGGAATGAACTAAGACTTTTAAATACCCCCAGAATGAAATTGGACATTTCTTTTTTTTTTTTTTTTTGGGGGTACGCGGGCCTCTCACTGCTGTGGCCTCTCCCGTTGTGGGGCACAGGCTCCAGACGCGCAGGCTCCGGACGCGCAGGCTCAGCGGCCACGGCCCACGGCCCCAGCCGCTCCGCGGCATGTGGCATCTTCCCGGACCGGGGCACGAACCCGCGTCCCCTGCATCGGCAGGCGGGCTCTCAACCACTGCGCCACCAGGGAAGCCCTGGACATTTCATTTTTAAAGAACAAGAAACTTAAGGTCAATTTTAGTAGTTTGGGGTGGGGAAACGGCCAGCTGATCATTAGACAGTTTAACCTCCTGAGACACAGCTTGACTTCTTCCCAGCCTCCTTCCTGCTTAGGTGAGACTGTGTGTAACTGAGTTCTAACCACAGCATGGTGAGCAGAAGTGATGTGTAACCACTTCCAGGTCTAGCCCATAAAGCTCTCTCACGTGCTATCTGTCCTCCGTGCTCTTTCCCTTTCCATAGCTTGATGCAGATGAGCATGGGGACCGCAGAAGCCACGAGCTGAAGGCAGCAGAGCCTAGGGCCACAACGTGGAAGGTACCTGGGTCTCCAAATCACTCCTGGAGGAAGGCCCCTTCCTGATCGAGAATCTCTATTTTGAACTTTATGTGAATGGGGATCGACTTCTATCATTTTGCAATCAGTATACGCTTTTTAGTGTATGTGTTATAGCAGCCAGTGTCACCTTAACAAATGTAATTCACAATACAGTAAATAGACTATTTGCTTTTCAAAACCAGGTAGGTGCAGTTTGACAAATTTGGTTAAATGATTAGAAAAAGATATCTTGGTCAAATCGTTCACTTCTAAACACTTATATCACACTCCTGTACTCATAAAATTTCATATAAATTAATGAAAATAATCTCAGGATAACTGAGAACCAAATGAAAACTGACTATGTTATTTTCAAGCCTCTTCTATGGTCATCTTTAATAGGATCAATTCTGACTCCCTTTAGGTTCTATGATTCCAGGAAATCCTTCCATGGCACCTCTGAGAGCTCCCATACCATAGCCCTCCCTGTGTCCAGCCTCAAATCTCATATCAGTGTTCAGCGAAACAAACTAAAGCAAAATAAAACAAATTAAAAAGTTCCCCCTCCATTACTTCTACAGTTTTCCTTAGACATGCTTCTAGAGCACTACACTTCAGATCTTTTTTTCTCAATTTAAACACTAGCTCAGAGCCTACAGAAAGGTCTTGGAGGTAGGAAATAATTTGGGGGCAACTTTTCAATTCTGGTGTCATGACCCCAGTGGGAGCCTCAGACACCCCTCTGATTAAACTCTATTTTGTCTGTAGAATTGGAATAACCACATAGGCACCCCGCCAAAGAGATTTTAAAGAGAGACATTTAAAGATGGCACACATTGAACCATCTTCATGCTGTAGACAGAGAACACCTAGTTTTCCCCCTCGAGCTCCTGGACACAAGTACTTACCGATTTATGTAAGGTCCTCACCCCACAATTCTTCCACGACCTCCTGCTGAGCACATGGCAGCCAGTCTCTAACACGTCCAGCGTGAAATAGAACAGAGACCCCAGACCAGCCTGTGGGAAGGGGAGGAGAAATGCACAACCCACATGAAGCAGAAACTCCTAAATACCAGCAAAAAATTATGGCAAAGCCAAAGGCTATGACGTTTGTGAAGATCTCTTATAAACGGTGGGACACACATTTCTGAGCAGATACCGTTAGCACTTGTTTCTAATAACAGTGAGAACCTGTAGCACCCTGGCAGAGGAGAGCAACATGTACTCAACAGGGTTCCTGATTTGGAAAACACCTGCCAACAGGTGTCTCTGGGTTCCCGTGCCCTGGCCAGCCTCCCCAAATTGTGCAAACACCTGCCCCAGAGGGTACTGCCACTTACCTCTTGTGTGTGTTCACGGGCATCGCTCACTCGGTTGAGGCTCAGCACGTAGCCGTCCTTTCGGTCCCTGTTGATGTCCTGCAGGATGAAGTTCGCGATATCCAGCACATATGAGCTGTTGCAGGCAAGGGAGAGGAGACGCGAGGGGCTGGGGACTGGCTGGGGTGGAGATACAGCCCCACAGCAGGCGGCCAGGGTGCAGAGCGCCAGAGGTAGGAACAGACTCATCCTGTGGGGGGCAAGGCCCAGGAGGGGTCAGTATGCAGAGCTGCAGGCACCGCGCTGTTTATAGGGCTCTGAGGCCAACTTGAGCAGCTTTGTGATTGCAAGCTAAACCAGTGATCAGGTTTTGAAGCACAATGTCCTATTTTATCTCTTTGAATTCTAAATGTGGATTTCCCTGAGTCAGTACTTTGGATGGGATTTGCCACTATCTGTAACCTTAGACCCCTGAGTAACCTCACATTCACGTGTACATGTCAACAGATGTCAGTTTCCTAACCGTTTCCCAAGAAATCAAAATAAACCCTTGGGTCAAGGCTCCCAAGAGGTCATGATTGAGTTCTGGTTTGTGTCCAGGGCTCCAGCTGAGTCAGAATATGCCCCTAGCACCTTGCCTCTAGCTGATGTCCTGGCCACACTGATCTTTATCTCCATCTTGGAGCCCAGAATCACGGTGCTAACGGGGCTCAGTGACTTCATGCTCCACCTCCCAGGATCACCACTCTTGTTATATCTGAAAAAGGGCTTTAACCCCATATCATCTACATAAAGGCCCACGTGAGATTCCTAAAGCATTTTGGGATCTGGCTAGAAACAGTTTTCTTTAGCATACATACAGATGGCCAATAGGCACATGAAAAAATGCTCAACATTGCTAATTATTAGAGAAATGCAAATCAAAACTACAATGAGGTATCACGTCACACCAGTCAGAATGGCCATCATTAAAAAGTCTACAAATAATAAATGCTGGAGAGGGTGTGTTGCACTGTTGGTGGGAATGTAAATTGGGGCAGCCACTATGGAGAACAGTATGGAGCTTCCTTAACATACTAAAAATAGAGTTGTCATATGATCCAGCAATTTCACTCCTGGGCATATATCCAGAGGAAACTCTTAATTCAAAAAGATACATGCACCCCAATGTTCTTAACAGCACTATTTACAATAGCCAAGTCATGGAAGCAATCTAAGTGTCCATTGACAGATGAACGGATAAAGAAGATGTGAGATTATATATATATATATATATATATATATATATCATGGAATGTTACTCAGCCATAAAAAAGAATGAAATAATGCCATTTGTGGCAACATGGATGGACCTAAAGATTATCATACTAAGTGAAGTAGGACAAAGACAAATATATGATATTGCTTATATGTGAAATCTAAAATATGACACAAATGAACTTATTTACAAAACAGAAACAGACTCACAGACATAGAAAACAAGCTTATGGTTAACAAAGGAGAAAGGGGTGAGGGAGGGATAAATTAAGAGTTTTGGATTAGCAGATACAAACTACTATATATAAAATAGATAAACAACAAGGTCCTACTGTATAGCACAGGGAACTATATTCAGTATCCTGTAATAAACCATAATGGAAAAGAATATGAAAGAGAATATGCATACATATGTATAACTGAATCACTTGGCTGTACATCCAGAAACCAACACAACTAATATAGTTTTAAATCAACTACATTTCAATAAAAAATAAATTTTTAAAACTTTTTAAAAAAGTGTTCTATTTAGCCTCATTTAGTTTTTTTAAAACAAGGACTTCATTTACATTAAAGAAAAGTGAGGGACTTCCCTGGCGGAGCACTGGTTAAGAGTCCACCTACCAATGCAGGGGACATGGGTTCTATCCCTGGGCCGGGAAGATTCCACATGCCGCGGAGCAACTAAGCCCATGTGCCACAACTACTGAGCCTGCGCTCTAGAACCCGCGAGCCACAGCTACTGAGCCCATGTGCCACAACAAGAGAAGCCACCTCGATGAGAAGCCCACGCACTGCAACGAAGAGTAGCCTCCACTCTAGGCAACTAGAGAAAGCCAGTGAGCAGCAACAAAGACCCAGTGCAGCCAAAAATAAATTAATTAATTAATTTAAAAAGAAAAGTGAATGGCATGTCAATAGTTCTTGCATCACACTCCAATTCTACACTTTTTTCTATGGATCTGTGTGGAAGCAAACTTGTTCAGAGGCTAAAACCTAATACTATTGTTAAGAGAGAGATAATGATTGGAGGGTGGGCTGAAATACAGGAATACACTGGTTCGGACCCTGGCTTTTCTCTTTTAGCTTCTGCTTGGGGTTCCACTTGGAAGTTACTACTGACTGGAACTGTACAAAGCACAAACATCTTTTAAAACTTTCTATTTGAAAACACATACACACATCAGAAATAGCTTGTCACAAGAGAAGGGAAGCTTCTAGACTAGGCTACCATAGAAGGTATTCTATAGAACCCTATTCCGTGAGATATGCGCATTACTCACCCCTCTCTCCACCCTTCCCACCCCCCGCCCTCAGTGTTCTGTGCTCAAAGAAGTTTAGGGACTGCTGCATCCACAGATGCGCAGTCTTATAGAGTCTGAACACACACGAGCATGTTAAAGGCTCTCTGAAGCTTTGAGGTGCAGAAACATATTTATATCACAATCTCCTATTCTAACTTGACTACAAGAGAGGTTTTTGTGATACTTATTATTAACCTGCAAAATCCAGTTTTGGAATTGCTGCACTGGTAAATAAGGATAGCTATCTGTGAGATTTTTTGATAGGAAACTGCTCAGATGTATGAAGATTTTTTACCGAAAGTGGAGATATTCCGAGTGGTTTGAAAGAAATGTCCCTCCCTGAACTGAAATGCGCAGTATGGTAGTCACGGCTGATAACCGAACTACACCTAAGCAAGTCATTTAATATTATCTGTTTATTTAAAACTTTAATTTCACACTAAACTTAAATATAATGATTTGTGTTGCTAATAAGGATTACTGTAATTAGCTATTGTGATAAAATTTAAATTTTTATTAAAAAGTTGAGTGGAAAATAGTTTTTTCTTCATCGATCACCATGTTCTTGGGGGTCACTGTGGATCACTTGGTGGTAGCATACAGACTCACAGAAAAGTACTGTACCTTAATGATAATTTAGTGACTCTAACCAGCAGATTTCTGAGGTGAGAAAACTGAGGTATAGGAAGGGAGTGCCTAACAAAAATCATAAATGAATTAGTGGCAGAACCAGTTATAGAAAACTTCTAGTTTAGAATCTTTTTCATCAGAGCAAATATTACAGCAATAGCCTAATTGTAACTCTTTTAATTACCAACTGAATGAACATGGAAAGTCAGGTAACCACCATAAACCTCAAAAGCCAGATCTGTAAAATGGGCTAATCACAGAGCCTGCCTCATAGGAGATTCTATACGAGGAGGGCTAGACCCACACTTGTTACCCAGGATAGCTAGTGTTATAGGTATAATCATGGCAGTTACTTGAAACCCCACATACACTGATTGAGGGTTAGGGTTATGCCAGGGACTGCGTTAGGCTGTCTGTAATCAAGGGTTAATAAGACTAATTAGCTTAATATGATACAGCCCCTAACTAATTTCTGCAAGCAAACAATCAGTTTTCAAGGCTTGATTTATAAACTCAAATCTAATGATCCCAGCTCCTTAGAGATGGGCATGAGGCATTGTTTTCAACCAGAAGCAACAGTAGGAAAATGGGTATGGAAACCAGAAATGGGCATGGACGTCAGACGTTCAATTATTGGAGTACGACAAAGATTTACAGCCAGCGAGGGAACAAACATTCACAGGGCTCAGACGATGTACAGAAAGAGGCTGGGAAGGATGGAGGAGACAGGACTGAAGAGAAGCCAAAAGAGGAGGAGAGAGTTTGGGGCCTGAGGAAATGCATTGGACATGCAGGGGTAAAGGCCTTCACCGCAACTAAGAAGAAAGGCAAATAGATTAAAGGGCGATTAAACTCTGACTGACCGGAGAGGAAACTGGACTTTGACTCGAATGTCCTGGTTCAGCCCTTAGCTGTGTAGACCACGGCCGAGAGGCATCAGTGTCCTCAACTGTGAAATCGGTGTAGGATCAGGTGACTGCTGAGAGCCCTCAGCCCTGCCTTGAAGGCATGCCTGCCCTTCTCTTTACCTGACACGGTTCCATTTTCCAGGAGAGATCCCTCCTAGGATCTGGTAAGATGGAACTTGTTCTCCAGAGCCCAGGGAATCTGCGTTTCAAGCCAGTTTCAAACAACCTGGGCCCAGCCTCCTGCTAGGTTGTGGAGTATGGAGCCCTGTGAGAGGCAGCAGGGAGAGGAGGCCGGTCTTTGGAGTCAGAGAGACCTGGGTTTAAATTCTGCCTCTGCCGTTTGCTTTGCAGACGGCCTGAGACACTGTGGGTGCCGTAACATTTAGCTTCCTTGCCCATAAAACACCAGCACGCACAGGCTCACACACACACATACCTGCACCTACTTGTAGAAAGAGGGGAACACATTTGGTCTTTCCCCAGGAGCCCCACCCCAGGTACACTTCTGCTTTGTCCCCATCACGTATGTGGAGGACTTTAGAATCAGCAGAGCAGTTTAGTTCGGCATAGGAACGTGAGAGCAAGGCTGTGGAGCCATCAACCCAGGTTTAAACCTTGGCTCTGGTTTAGGGTGATCATCTAATCCAGTGCTTTCCATAAAACACACTGCAAGTCACATGTTTTATTTTAAATTTCCTAGTAGCCACATTTAAAAAGTAAAGAAAGAAAAAAGCAGGTGAAATTAATTTTAACATTTGACTTAATCCAATAGATTCAAAATATCATCATTTCAATCTGTCATTAATAGAAAGATTTATGAATGAGATCGTTTCCACTCGTTTTACACTATGGCACGCCTCATTTAAGGTGCTAACAATCAGATGGGGCCACTGACTAGATGGCACAGGCTCTCCCAGTCCAAGGAAGGTAGTGGGAACCGCCATGTTCTGAGGCCTCAGTGAAGACTGGTCACAGGGGAGGTAAGTGCAAGGTGCTTGGTACAGCCCTGGTGCATAGGACACGTGGGACAACATCTGCTGTCACAGCCGTGACTGTCCTTGTGGTCCTCACCTTGTCTCACATAGCACAGACCCCAGGCGACTCTGCTGGCGACTTTTCCCAGCCCACCCGAACAGAGTCACAGCTAAGAGGGCCAGGTTAGGAGAAACCGGGCTGATTATCCTTGAGCCAGGAGGGGGCGGTACCTGGGCTCCCCTCCCTCCAGCCTCCTGACAATGGAGTGATTCAGGGCAGAGATAGCGGATTGTTGATTTTACAACA